CGAACACACCAAAAGAAAGAGTAGACTCTCTTCTTTCATCAGGAAAACAAAAATTGTTTCTACCTTATTCCGTTCTTCCTGGACTTGCGTCTCACCGGCGACATGTTCTCTCATAGCGAACCGTTACCTTTTTCTTATTTGCCTACAGTCTATGCTCATCTCCCATCAAAAGTGGCACTGCCCCCTAGAGGGTCAAATTGTTACTACATACTCTGTCTAGAAGCCGATATTTACGGACAAGCTTTAGCAGATCGTCCCCCAGCCACTCTCGTTGAAAAACATAAAAGACGTCTATAGACGTCTTTGGCAGCCAATGAGTTAAGTCACACACCTGTGGGGCCCCAGCCAATAAAACATGTAAGGCAAGGCAAGTTTATTTTAAAGCACATTTCGTGTAAACACAATTCAAAGTGCTTCATAGAGAATTTAAAAGCAGAAAAACAAGAAAAGAAAAATAATCAAAATTAGACGGATGAAAAGTGAAGGGTGCAGATAAAATACTTTCTCATTTAAAAGAAGGAAAGTCTGTAACGTTTAGCTTCTCTCTGTTGGTGTCTGCTAGAAGACCTCCCTCTTCCCTTTAGTGGTGCATGTTAGCCGTTAGCATAAACATTTCTAATGAAGGGGCCTCCAGTAGGAATGTCCCCATCCAGCTTTTTTTACTTCCGATCCGATCCCGGCATGTATTAAAGTTTAAAGTTATTTATCTACTTACTTAGTTGTCAGACTCATGTTGAACAGGGATTTCCTCTGATAACAGTTTAATGGTTAGGACACAGACCTGTGGGTCAGGAGATGCTAATGCTAATGCTAATGTGGGATCTGACTTAAAAAAAAAAAAAAACTGGATCTGGAGGCCGATACGCAGTTTTTTTCCGAATATTGTTGGCCGATCAGATCCAGATATTGGATCGGGACCAGCCTAGTGGACACTGATGCTTTTTAATCTTTCTTTTTTTTCATCCCTTCTGTTTTTTTCTGAGTTCCAGTCATACATCACAGGCAGGGAAACTGATTTCAGAGAGAAAAGTCGATCCAAGTCCTGATGTTGTTGCCGTCTTTGTGAGCTTTAAGGTTTCAAAAAACCCTCATTATTAAACGGCCATTTCTCAAAACGCAGTTTTTATGCAAATATCTGTGGCCGAACCGATCCAGATATCGGATCGGGACAAGCTTAGCCTCCACACTCAGTTTTCTGTCTTAGACAAGTCCAAATATAGTCACATTCAGTCCATTGGGACTGAATAATGCAGTAAGAGTCTCTGACAGTGTAGTGAGTCTGTGTTTGTGTGTGTTTCCTCAGAGAAAGTCCCGGCGATACTACCCCACCAGGCTGGCCATCACTCTGGCAGCAGGAGTCACCCCCACATCCTCCTCTTCCTCCTCCTCCTCTTCCTCCTCTTCCTCCTCCGGCCCGGCGGGAACCGGAGACGCAGGGTTCATTGTTGTAGAAACAAATTATCGCATCTACGCCTACACGAGTACGTGTCACCGCCCGGAGAGTCTGATTCTGTTCTCCAAGAAGCTTCTTTAATCCGGATGTCAGAGCCTGTATTAAAGTTTAAAGTTATTTATCTACTTACTTAGTTGTCAGACTCATGTTGAACAGGGATTTACTCACATTTTCCGGAGAAAAAATTCATTTTTTCATATTTGATGGTAAATAAACTGTAAATTTAGCACATTTTAGGGTAAAAACTCGAAAATTTTGCATGTTTTATGGTAAAAAAAAACAACAACATAGATTTTGCACATTTTAGGGGAAAAAGTGTACATTTTGCCTAATTTTACTCCCGGCCTATCAGAGCATGTGTTAAAGTCTAAAGTTATTTATTCTACTTACTTAGTTGTCAGACTCATGTTGAACAGGGATTTACTCTGATAACAACTTAATGGTTAGGACACAGACCTGTGGGTTACAGATGCTAATGCTAAGGCTACAGTGGGGGAAATAAGTATTTGAGCCCTTGCTGATTTTGCAGGTTTGCCCACTTACAAAGAATGCAACGATCTATAACTTTAATCATATGTATATTCTAACAGTGAAAGACAGAATCCCAAAGAAAATTCCAGAAAATCACATCGTATGAGATTATAAAAACTGATAACCATCTGATGAGGAAAAATAAGCATTCTTTGTAAGTGGGCAAACCTGCAAAATCAGCAAG